GAGAGAGAGAGAGAGAGAGAGAGAGAGAGAGAGAGAGAGAGAGAGAGAGAGAGAGAGAGAGGTTCAGCACTTGGTGCGAACAGTGCTCGTCAGGCTGCGTGCAGGCAACCTGATTGCCCGGTTTTGATCTTAGTCTTCGAATTATGACCATGGATGGCTGCAACCTCATCAATCAGGGATAGAGCCAAGACACGAGGAGCTGCCCCAGTGGGAGATCGGCATGCCTTTTTCAGGGCTCTCCGATAATGACAGCAGCAGTGAGGAGTACTACATTCCTGCTGCTCCTCTGCCCACGCAGCAGTTGTCAACGTCGCCATCACGAGAGCTTGTGCGTAATGCACACAGCACACCAGGCGGGTTCAGCTCACTTTTATCTGATGAACCTGCGCTTGTCGGGAGAGCATACAATGTCCGTGGAACTCCTCACCTTGCCCGTGATGGAGTTGAGCGTGCACTAAGTAATCTTGTTGCATCAGGCATGAAGCACATCGATTTGGAGCAGCCACCCATCGATATGGAGGAGCCGCAGAGTGGACAGCAGGAGCCAGTTCCCAGCGACGAAGAAGACGATTCACAGAAACGTGCAAGCTCAGATGGGAAGGGTTCAGGTGGGAAGCGATGTCAGCAAGCGTCCTGGGATCGCAACCAAATCACCGTGCTTGTCGAGGCAAAGCGCGAGAAGGCTGCTGTGATTGCAGCTGGCGGACATGACTTCAATTCTCCGAAGTTGATGTGGCCGCCTATTGCCGATGCAATGAAACAAGCAACTGGGAGAGAAGTTAAGAAATGGGATTCATGCAAGAAGAAGTGGCGTCAGTTGACAGGCAGCTATAGAGAGATCAGAGACTTCATGTTAAAGTCGGGGGCGCCAAGCTGCTGGACCATGTCAGCGGCAGAGAGGAAGCATCCGAAGATAGGTGATGTTCCGTTTGAAGGATGCTCTGCCTCCTAATTTTGACAGGGAGCACTTTGATATCCTTGAGAGCTTCCTTGGCAAGCGGGACTCTATCACAGGGAGGCGCGTTGCAGATGCTTACAGGAAGAATCTGAATAACAACACGTCGGCGTCCGCATTTGCAACAAAAACTGTGTCGTGGCCACCACCAGGAGACCTTCCTTCCGATAGCAACACAGGACATCAGAGTGCTTCATCGGGGGTGGGACAGCATGCCAGACCGGAGTGTGACGAACGTCCAAAGAAGCGATCTGCTACACGGGGCAACATGGATATGACAACGGCTTTGGTGAGTTCTACCGACCGCATCATCGAGAGGATGGATAGGCAGGCCTCCATTGGCGACAGGCAGAACGATCTCATGGCAGAGATGGTGAGCACTGAGCATTGAGAGAGAACGTGTGAAGGCCGGTACTGTGAATTCCGGACTATGGCTGGAAGTGTTTGTCAAAATGACTGACAATATATATATATATATATATATATATATATATATATATATAGAGAGAGAGAGAGAGAGAGAGAGAGAGAGATGTCCTGCAAGCAAGGACTGATTAATATTATTTAATGTTTGAGGTCTAGGAAGCTGAATACAGGACCTGCACTTCCGTTCGGCTTGCAAGCGTCCTGCATCAATATTTTTTTGGCTGGAATACTTATAGTAAGGTTAGCAGGCAGGGCGCCTGCTATGGTTTTCATTTTTGGGCGGACAACAGGTGTCTTTTCCCAACAATATTCCGTTTTTTTTTTTTTGGCGCGAATACTTATAATAAAGTTAGCAGGCAGGGCGCCTGCTATGGTTTTTTTTTTTGGGCGGAGAACAGGTGCCTTTTCCCAACAATATTACGTTTTTTTTTTTAACTTGGGTGGATTTCTATGCGCACAAATATTGTCTCCCCATTTTAGTTTATGATATTTGTTTTGTTTGTTTTTTGGTGAGCTTTCAGTCCTGGTATGCCCTCAAGAGTCAAGTCATATCCTTCGTCAACTTCCTGGACATGTTTATACATGCAATCTATAAGTTCAGCGAGGCCCAAGGTCACTTGCCCGGTCGAGCCGGGAAAAAACAAAACAAAACAAAACAAGAAAGTAAAATCGGAATTTTGAACTTGGTGAAAAATTTCGATGTGACCCTGAGGCAAAAGTTGTTCAGTTT